TTTATAGAACATGTGTCATCAACAATGAAAGAAAAAAAAACACAGAATCATATTCCAAATATAGTTATCTTATTGAAGCTTAAATATTTGATTAAAAAAATGTCACAATATAGAGTCAGAAAGACAAACAGCAAATACACCAGACATAAATAAACAATGATAAAGTAAAGAATTGGCGTTTGAGAGGCCTAAGAAAGACAAAGAATTTTTTTGTTAGTCGTTGCAGACTTTAAGTATATGTCAATGGAAAGAGAACGATAAAATATAAAAAATGAGAAAAGAATGAGAACTAAAGACAATAACATTATCACTGTAAATTGTGTTGGAAAATGTTTTTGGGATTGTAGGCTTTTTTAGATGAATTAATCTTTTTGGTTATATATGGCGTCGTCATCGTCCTCGAATAAAACTCTAACGATCAATAAACTTCAAAATAATTATTTTTTTTATGGTACTCATCCATTAAAAGTACCAAATACACTTGTTCATTCTAATTCAACAACGAGTTTATCTACATCAAGTACAGGTGGTCAAAATTCAAATCATTTATCACTTGATATGCCAAATAGTAATTATAATACTTTTCGTCATGGATATTTATCAACAGCAGAGTTACCAACAACAAAATCATTACATAATCTAGCAGATTCTCGCAAAGACGATGACGATAATAATGAGGTAAAACAAACAAAAAAAAAAAAAAAAATAAAACAAAACATAAAATATAAAAAATCATTATCTTTTCTTATCACATATATATGTCATTGTCCAAATAATATTATTATCAGTATGCACATCAACATAGGATGTTGTTGTTGATTCATATGTATTTGATGAACTAACAAGTTTAGTAAAACTTAATTCTTGAGTTTTATTTATATTCCATCGAAGTCCTTCAGTTTGTACATGTGCTGATTGACCAATGGGTAGTAAACTACATATATTACCTTTATATTTTGATTGTATATGTATTCTATTGAGTTTATTTGCATGTAATAAAAAAGTAATATCATGATCAGTTATTAAATATATTTGTAAATTAGGATAATAATCATTAAGTATATATAATGAATGTATTATACCTATAGTTTGATCAAATCGTCCACCTAATGAACAAAAAACTAAAAGATTATTTAACATTGATTTTTTTTCCATCATAACACGAACACATTTTGTAAAATCTGTTAAATTTTGATCATCAGTTTTAATAAACTCAATAGTTGATATTGATTTATAATAATCATAAGTTTGTTGATTAATTGAATCAAAATCACCACTAATATAATCGGGTAAAAAATTTTCATTTATTTCATTTGAATAAATTTTAAGTATATTAGAACCACCATCAGCACATGCGCGAATATGAGCTTTTTCCCATATGTCTTTTTTTAATACATGTCGTAGACTATCCAATGAATGATTAAGTATCATAACACCATAGTTTAATAAAGTATTTGATTCAAAAAATGCATATGGATTATAATCTTGACGAAGCATTTTTCTTTTTTCTTGTTTTATGGTGAAAAATAGTATAGAATAAATATGATTTTTTTTGTTATGTGAGCATTCATTACATTCTTGACTCTAACTGAATGAGTTTGTTTTTCGATTTATTTAGTATTATGGTCAATTAATTATGCATAGAGGATATACATAGAAAAGAAAAACTACAATAATCTGGTTGAACTATACGAGGTGTGTTTTATTGGAATCTACGCAAAATAAAGAGTATCTATAATGACGTATGCTTAATGTCATCCATTTTTATTTTCTAACGAAGAATATGATAGAAGGAGGCACAGAAAAGAAAGAAAGAAAGAAAGAAAAATAATAATCATATCAAGAAAAAATGGCTTGACTTTGCTTCTGTTTTTTGATTATACAGCAACTGTCTATCATCTGTTAGAAAATAGGAGACATCTGTACATATTAAAATGATCGATATTAATTTGATGAATAAAAGCAAGAATAAATTAATAATCAAAGAAATGTTTATATATGATGTCAGCATAGTTCATATGGTTGTTTTAAAAGTAACATTGATATTGTGCAACGATGGAGAGAATTCAATTTAGATGAACGAATTTGTTTTAACAGACAATCAATGTTAACATTTCATTCGTTTTTTTTCGTGTTGTTAAGTGTGTCCACCGATAGATTCGATATTCTTATTTTTGGATAGAAACAAATCAAAATAATTGAAACTTTTACAATAAATTACTTAGGTTAAGGCCGGTCTCTATAAAAAACTTCAAGTTGAAATTTGAAAGTCAGTTTTCTTGGTACTCCTGTGGAGACCATGGCATTCATAAAAGCCTGTTAGCACAATTCCTGCGCAATTAAAATACGAAACACGACATAGATACTATTGCTAATCACAGGAAGACTGTTTTATTATCTATATCTTGAGAGGTAAATCTTCACCATCTTTTCATTTAATCCTTAAAAACTGCAATGAAAAAGTAGTTCATTTTTTATAACAAGACGGTATTAAGGAAAGGTCTGAGACTTTGAGGAACGAGCGGAGGTCGGATTTTTTACTTCCTTAGTTTCACATTCCTTTTATATTGTATTTCGCAAAAAAAATACCGTAAAAAGGTCATATCTATACAGTAACAAGCTAAGGGCACAAACTCTTTTCAGGATATTCAAAGCTCACTTTTGTTGAATTTCCTCGTGAGTATTTTACTAATAATCATAGTTGTTAGATGAATACATGAATATTCGCGTACAAAATATTTTCAGTCACTTTATCAAATAAATTAATGAAAACTTTTTACGAAGACGAAAAGACATTTTTTAAGTAACCAATTGGGAATGTAAAAATTATTTTCATGTAATTGCATCCTAAGCATCTTTCCAGT